CACAAGAGTTTGAAGATTGTTTTTCTGAGATAAAGAAAACCTTAAGTACCTTTCAGTCTGTATTAGCCAGGAAAGTTTGAAGGACTTTTTGTGCTTACCATGAACATCTAATTCGTAGGTATGATTAATCCATCCATACGAGTTGCTCACAATACACATGTATGACCCAGTATCGGAGGGAACCAAGTCCTTCAGACTCAACAAGGTTGTCCATTGACTCAAATAGAGTTTCCTGCCACCTTTCCTTTCCTTAAACAATTTTCTGTCTTTGTACCATTCTACTGTAGGACGAGGGTTTCCATCGGCAGAACAATCCAGCTTTACAGAGTTGCCAACGGGTAACGCAAGAAGGTTGCGCCTCATCTTGTATTGCGGCACTGTGAATATTGGAGCATCTGTGAAGCACAGAACAGCCACAGGATTTGAGTAATGATTTTGTCGACAGCTGCCCCTTATCTGGCCCTTACTAAGACATTTTAGGTTACAGCTACAGATGAAGTCTCAACATTATTTTACTCTAAGTGTTCTACAGTACTGGTTCAGTACGGTGATGCTTCACGTAATATATCAAAACCAGTGGACCGCTACATGGAGAGAGATTTTCAAATATTTGCATTGGAGAAAGAGCGTTTGTATTCTTTTCTTTTAATATTCTAGCTAGATTAAGGTATTTAAAAAAATAAAAAAATAAATTGAAAAAGAAGAAGAAGAAGAAAGGATTCGCTTTAGGATTCGTTGCTCGATGACGAATATCATCATGCAGCCAATCATTTGTCCTACTTGCTGTTGCATTTTCAATGAGTTCTAAGAGGATGAGGTCAATCCAGTTAAAAGCTAATGGCTTTTTATTGGTAAATGAAAGGCTATTAGAAAGGTTTTCGATTTTATCCATACACTAATCTTTGGAAATACCACATATTAAGAGGGGATGGAGATTTTACTGAGATGGGGAAGCTTACCAACAAGAGTAATTCCGGGGACAGGACTTCCTCTCATTTCCTCTCGGTATCAAACAATGTAATTTAGTTGAACTTATTTCGCGAGCTGGGAACAGCTCACTTCCTAAATATAAATGAAATTATTTTATGTGGTCTTCGTTAGATTATTAATCTCTGAGAAGCGTATCTCTACGAGTTCCTTTTGGGTCACATGGTTGGTAAACAATGAAAATTTTTTTTTGTTTTTTTGGTTTTGTTTTTCTCTCAGCCTTCTCTTTAGAAGTCGGTAATCGGCTCTTCCCTTTCTTTTTTTGTCTTTTTTTTATCATGAATAAGGCGGAATATCTTGGTCACACTGAGGGTCTAATTAAGAGTTTCGGATCCAACCTCTCACCACCTTTGCCTCTTTAGAGAATTCTAAACTCTGTTTCGATGTTGTTTTCTGTAAAGTTTAGGCCGGATGCGATCTACAGTATAGAACTAACGGGTACATTAAGAAGGTTGCGCCTCAGCTTGTTTTGCGACACCGTGAACATTGGAGCAGCTATGAAGCACAGAACAGTCACAACATTTGAGTAATGATTTTGGGTTAGGGTTAAGGTTCCTGCAAATGTGGGTTTTGCAACTTTCTCACTTTTACAATCTACCCATGGACGAAGCCACTTAAGCTATCGTTATTGAATTTTACCATCAGTTTTGTGAGTTGTTGAGAAACAAACGGACAATTTGTCGCTCCGTATTTTTAACCGCCCTGCAGTGTAATACCGAGGCATACTTTGTGCGTTCTCTCTTCAGAGTCTTTTTTTTATTATTCCCACGTCGGAGACGGAGATGACACTAGTTTCTCGATTCTTGATGCGTGTGCGCGAGTTATGAGCCGGGAGGATGACCACGCATTTTCCTTCAGTCAGCCAGCTGCCGGTTTAAAATAGGTTTTTTTTGCGGGATCTAATTCGAGGGGTTTTTTCAAAGCTATTAATCTTCAGCATTTAGACAAAAAGGAAAGGTGGCCTGATGCTTTAAAATATTCACACTACAACGTCCAGTTATATTTTCAAAGATGCAAGTTGCTGTGCAAAAAATAACAAAAAAAATTATTCTGAAGTCTGCCAAGAAAATGTATCACGTTGCAACATCGTGTGAAAATTACCCTAAGAAAGGAGAAAAGCATTAAAAGTGTTACGAAGTGGCCAGAAAAAGTAACTCGTACACATCTGTCGACTAAATCTTTGACATACATTTCATAGAATTTTACATACCTCTGACTAAGAGCTGCAATGCATAGGGATTTTTTCCGCAGTCGTTCACCCCGACACAGGTGTAAAAGCCAGAGTCCTCTTTCTTCGCCCGTTTTATCTTTAGGTATCTGTATGGTTTTAACCTCATGCGTTGATGATCTGATGGAATGAGCGTCTGATTATCTTTGAGCCAGTAATACCCTGGTTTTGGGGTCTGACCGGTGGTTCTGATGTGGCAAATGAGTTTTACATCTTTCCCGCTAGTCACCTGGATGACCTTTTTACCGTTCCCGTTCTGGTGACGGATGTAAGGGACTGAAAAAGGAGAGCTATTTCTATACGTTCCACGTCTACAATAATACAAAATTCTATAGTCATGTAACAGTTCGTTTAAATCTAAATAAGCTTTCTTCTGGTCTTTACTCCTTGCATTCTTGAACAGCAATGGTTTAGCCGATGAGAGCCTGCAAGTAGGCTAAGGAACGCTAAGTAATAGCTAACAGTTGCGATCATCAAGAATCGAGAATATCGCATTTCTTCCGGAATAAGCA